TGGTGATTGCGCCAGCCCATGGAAGAGGAGGTGAGCTGCATTGTCAGAGACCCTGATAGGAGGCTCCAAAGGAGCCAATGGTTTCAGCACTGAACTGCACACCATATCCCCTGCAGAACTGAGCTGAGAAGGACAGGGCCAGTGGGATTTGGGAAAACAGATCAAGGCAGCACTCCATTGGGGGTGGTGCAGGTCTGCTGGAGGAGAGCAAGCTGCACACCTCCCCTTAGCTCTGCAGCCATGTCTCCAGAGACCCTGGAGTCTTCGGTTAAAGGTGGCACCTGCCAAATGCACAGGAGGGGGGAAAGACTGGCCTCCTTTCCAAAGCCACACAATTCAATGACTGTGTTATTGTATGCCTACAGCTTCTCCAGAAAAAAAGCACATCAATAGGTAGGTCCCTGTTGGGTGCAGCTCACAGTCCTTTCTGCTGGACTCGAGCTTGTCAGGGTAGTGTCACCAGTATTTGGAGGAATAGGTTAGTTTACTCCCCAGCTGGTGCTGTAAGAATAGGAGTTCCCAACCCTGGGAGATGGTGCCTGCAGGCAGTGTGGTATTTTTTGACTCAGGACTGGGATCTCAGTAACCCACCTTCTAGACCTCTCTCTGGAGCCATGCCACCATATGCTGTGGGTCGCCTTCCCTCTACCAGAGCCCCAGGTGACTGCCCAAGGGCAAGCTCCTGTGTAATGGCCCTTAGGAGAACATCTGGGATTCTAGTAGACTCTCTCTTCTTCCAAGTGGACAGAGTCCCCATTGATTTTCACTGTCAGATGCTATGAAGGCTCCTCTTCCCACCTGTAGTGCTCTGGTTTGGAGGTCCTCAGCATGAGGTTGAGACACCGCACTTCTCAGGGAGACTTTTGCAGCTAATATATATCCCTCATACTTCTCGGGTGCCGGGGCCAGCCCTCTTCACGTCTCTGCCCTTCTTACCAGTCTCTGTGTAGCCTCTTCTATAAATCCTTGAATATAATGCACCTGTTCAGCTGTCCTTCAGTTGGCTATTCAGGTTGATTGCCCTATAATTTAGCTGTAAATCCAGTTTGGTGCCCAGAGGAGGTATGTGTAACTTTCACCTACCCTGCAGCAATCTTGGATCCTCTATGGAAAAGTTCTTAAAAACATGTTTTTAAAGTCTTCTACAAAGTCTGTAGGATTACTCTAAGGAAAGTTCAGTAGGCCAGGGCTTTTGTCTTTGTTTTTTTTTAAAGCAGTATTCCTAATGCTCAAAATAGTCACTGACACATAGTAGGTGTTCAATAAATGTTTGTTAATAAATGAGTGAGAGAATGAATGAATGAGAAGCATATACCATTGAAACTCTCGAGTCCTTCAAGTCTCTTCAGGTAAAAAGGGTGATTTTTCTGACTCTAAGTTGCTGGAAGACTTAGAATTCTACCAGGTAGAGTATTCCCTTCAAGACATCTCTTTAGGATGGGGGAAATGCATGGAGCTGTCAAAATGTAAAAACTAGTTATAAGATGAAAAAGTTCTGGGGATTTAATATACAGCATGGTAACTATAGTTAACCATACTCTATTATATATTTGAAAGTTGCTAAGAGAGTAGATCTAAAAATTCTCATAACAAGAAAAAAAATGTAACTACATGAGGGGATGGATGTTAATTAAACTTACTGTGGTGATCATTTTGCAATATATATATATAATCAACATATATAATCATTATGTTGTATACGTTAAATTAATACATGGTATGTGTCAGTTATATCTCAATAGAAGTGGAAAAAGAGATGCCTATGTAGGTTAATTAGAAAATAGAAGTTTCTGATGAGCAAACTGATTTTATGATGAAAAATAATCCCTTTTTTTACAAGTTTAAAAAACTACTTTATCATAAAGTCATAATTTTTGCAACATGATTTGCCTGTCACCTCCCTCACCCTCTCTCTGGACCCACCTACTCGCATTCTTACCCTTGATCACTGAGCTGCAGGAACACTGTCCTCTTAGCTACTCTTTAAACTCCCAACCATGTGCTCACTGCCTAGAAAGCTTCTCCAAGATATCTGCTGGTATCCTCATTTCCTTCAGGACTCTGCACAAATATCACTTTATCAGAGAGGCCCTAACCAGCCTAAATGTAATAGCCAGCATTACACTCAACTTTTGGCACTCCTCATTTCCCTTCCCTGCATTATTTTCACCAACTTATGTTGTTTCATTTACTTCTCTGTCCTCTGTGTTTAACAAATATTTATTGAGTGAATAATCAAACAAGGACACAATGACATTTATGTACACTTCAGGGAGACAATATGATATGTGAAAAGGTACAGCCCTTTGAATATCTTTTCTAACTAACTATTCATTGTGGGGTCTAACCTTGAGAGTAACCTCCCTACACTCAGAATTTTCATCGGAAAAGAAAAACTAATAATACTTTTCTGGTAAGCATTTGGCATCAAATAAATGCTGGTTCTTCTCCTTTCTTTCACCTTACCTCCTTTTTGTGATTGGTAGTTAATGTGTCTATGATTCACAAGCTCTGAAATTGCTGGTAAATGAAAGGAACAATGTGTTGAGCATACCTTTAGCAATATCATTCCCAAAAATAACTCCTGTGGATTCTGTTTGTGTTTGATAACTGATAGGCTGGATACAAGGCACAAAAGGACACCTTCTTTTCTACTGGGAACCCAAATAGAGACATTTGAGGATGATTTCATGAAACTGTAGCATTAACTTTGAAGCATGACTGTATTAGAATAATGGTAAGCCTGGGAAACAGTCCAGGGAGAGAACAAAAGAAACTGAATGGGAGTGTGGCTGGAGCATGCGCCTTATAGTGAGAAAAAGAGAGAAAGGAAAGGCTATGTAAGATTATGGAAGACCATGATGCCTACCTAAAAATACCCAATTTAATACTATAATTAGCAGAGGGCTAGAGAGCCACTAAACATTTGAATATTAGTAAAACATAGAATCATAAAATGGTAAATTTTAAAAACATTAACAGAGACTTCTGAAAGCTGAGCAGTAGACAGCACTAATGAACCCAATGACATTTGTTCAGAAAAACAAATGACAAGTTTATAAATGAGAATGAATCATATCCTAATATTCCCTGTCATCACAGTTTGATTCACTACATAGAAGAAGAGACGTGAGCTAGAAGAGACTGAAGATCTGCTTATCACATGAGAGCACCAAAAAATGTCAACACACTAGAACAAGAGAACATGAAATCTGGCCTCTGAGCAACAAGGGTTCTCTCTCTGCGGTCTGAGTAGGGCTCTCTTAAGCTTACTCCCTAGTCTCTTTCTTGTTTTGATTCTTTATTCTCATTAAGTGCAAATAAAGACATAAGAACTCTATGAGTTCCAAAATGTTGAAATTCCCTTTCTGTGTATATAAGAGTACGAAAAAGGTGATAATATATAATTCACCTTAAAGAGACAAAATAGAAATTAATCTGTTACAGTGCTACTAAAAGCCTTCTCACCACAGAATTCTATAACAGAATTTAGCAATGAATAAAAATTTTAGGACTTAGGAAACCAATAACGTAACTTCGAAGTTCTTGAAGTTATGGAAGTGCTGGCAACTAAATAACAGGATTACACTTGTATCTGACTCAGTTTTGCATTTTTCTTGGGTCTGCTCTTCTCACAGAATGGATATAATTTATTTAGATTACTAACGAGCTTTTATAAGGTTCTCACAAGAGCCTATTATTGAATCTTGGTAACATGGTGTGAAAGAAAAAAGTCATATCAATGAATTAAATGAATTAAAAGCTGCTTGAGAGGCAAAGAGGCAAAAAGCAGAAATAAATGACCAGTTCTCATGTGGAGAAAGGTTAGTGATTAAAGGCTCTTAGGCTTTGCAGTAAAATCAGAGTTATATTTAACTAATGACTAGGAAAGGGGAACCCAATTATTATTCCCCTATTCTTCGTATATCAGTCCCATACACAGAGCCCCATTGACTGAAGAGCTTTTGGCACATGGAGGAGATACAGGCAGTGTAGAGAGGAAGTGCTTAAAATCCAGGAGAGAGCAAATAGGTAATGAATGTTGACTCCTATAGAAAGCCCCAGATATAAAGGAAATAGAAGTAAAAATTATATTAGCAAAATTTTATTTTCTAAGGATGTTGAGATATATACACACACACACACACTACATAGAAACACTAGTGCCTTTTCACAACACAAGATATGGTATTTGAACAACAGTACATAATTTATTGGCATAATGAGCGCCAATGTTCCATACATGTAGAATAGTTCAAGTGGGCATCTAGATCTGCAAAGACCACAGTCTATTTTATATATTTTGAAATGTAGAAATTAATAAATGACACTGATAACAAAAAATTAAGAATTACTACCATTTTCTGGGGCAAACTTGGTAAATTGGTACAGGTTTTAACAAAAGCATAACCTGACATGAATGGAATAATTTGGAAATCAAATACTCTAAATGATTAATGTTAATGCTTTGTGACCCATAACTCAATATGGCATTTTAAAAACATCGTGAAAAACTTCACAAAAGGGGGTCAGAAAAGCCAACAAATTCCTGACTTAACCTCCATTTGTCTCAGTTTTCTTATCCACAAAAAGGGGAATAATAAAATTTACCTCCAGAATGACTGTAAGGGTTAAGAGAGGTGAGGTATGTAGAGTGTTTAAGACAGTAAAGGTGAAAAATAATGTCAAATTATTGTTGTTGGTGGTGGTATTTATGATGTTCCAACTCCAAACAACAAGCCACAAACAATCAATACATTGTGACCTTTCTTGTTTATATCATTGTTAAGACTCAGTACCTAAGAAGACAATTAAAATGCTTTCAAATGCATTCAAATAAAGAAAACACTTAGATTTAAAATATCTTCCCATTAACCAATTGTGTGAAATGGAAAAAAATTTCAACTTAATCTAAATAAGCCTAAAAAGAACACCACAAGGCACCAGAGAAATGCTAGTGACATAATTTTTGAATGTATAAATAGTAGATCCAAGCTTACCGTGCAGATAATATTTTAATAAGCTCTTTTCTATTCTGTACCCGAAGGCGGTTAGTTTTATACTTCCAGTCATCAATCAGTTCAGGCAAATTCAAGATCTAAAAGAGAAAAACAATTTTAATGTATAATTCACAAGTTATTCATGTACCTGCTTATGGGTACTAGTGTTCAAGGCCTACCACTCCGTCCCCAAGACATTCCTTGCTGGTCTTTAGCCTTTCCTCAACAAGGGATATAGAGCAACAAAGGTAACTAGAGGGAAGAATCATGCCATTAGGATGGGTGTTGCTGTGACTGTGTTTGTTATTTATAAGTACACTTTAAGCATACATATGGGAGCACAGAAAAAGGAGTTATTAGATACCCATAATAAGTCTCGTGTAGAGGGCATAAGGAGATTCAAATTAGATAAAACTGACCTAAATTTCAGAACCAGTATAAGTGCAATCCTGCACTTACAGAAATCCCCTAATCAACATATATATCTTGTAGATACATTTACTTATTTTTCCCACATGTAAATAAATAATATTATCTGTCCCACTAGTCCTATCCAGGATGTTGTACAAAATGCTAAAATAAAGGCCAAACACATGCATTTGCCCTAAACACTCACCATTAAAATAATGTCAAATACAAACATATTCTTCCAATACAAGTTTCACTATTTTTCTTTAATATCTCTCCCTGAAGGAATAACAAATAAAAATGTTTTATATATTTCCTCCTTTGCTTCTCCTCAATAAACAAAAAATCTATCTGCCAAGTTCCATTTGATATCTTGCAATCTTAACAAGACCATTATAGAAGTACCTAATTGTTTTGGAATGGATGTTTTAAAAACAATATGTGGAGAAGAGTTTGGCAGTTGTGTTGGAAAGTCAGGAGCATTTATAGACTAGGGTCAGGGCATGTAGCCTACAGAAACCTTCACTACATCTATTAATGTATTTGCTTTAAATATAAACATTCAATGGTTTCATATTGCTTCCCACAGTATAAATAAAATCAATCCATTAATCATCTTACAAAGAAAAAGTAACTAAAACTATTCCAAAAAATTCAAGAGTAGAGAAGACTCACAAGCTCATTTTATAACACCAGCACTGCCCTATTCTAAAACCAAATAAAGACACTACAAAGACAGAAAATGATTGGCCAGTATCCCTCTTGAATGTAGATGCAAAAATCCTCAACAAAATATTAGCAAACTTACTTCATCAATAAATTAAAAATATCATACACCACGATCAAGTGAGATCTTTTCCTGGGATGCAAAGTTGGTATATCAGCAAATTAATTAATATGATACACCACATTAACAAAATGAAAGATAAAAATCATATGATCATATCAAAAGGTACAGAAAAGCATTTGACAAAAATCCAGTACCCATTTATGATATAAACCCTCAGGAAAGTGGGAATAGAGAGAATATACCACAAAATAATATAGCCCAAATATGTCCATACATGCTGTAAGATTTCATTCTTTTATATGGCCAAGTTGTATTCCATTTTGTATATGTACAACATCTTTTTTACCCACTCATCTATTGATGGGCACTTGGGTTGCTTCCATGTCTTGGCTATTGTAAATAATGCTGCAATGTATATATATTTTTAAACATATATTTTTGAATTAGTGTTTTTGTTTTCTTCAACTAAATACTGAGGAGAGAAATATCTGGGTCATACGGTAATTCTATTTTTAATTGTTTTGAGGAATCTCCATACTGTTTTCCATAGTGGCTGCTCCAGGTACAATCCTATCAACAGTGCACAAGGGTTCCCTTTTCTCGACATCCTCATCAGCACTTGTTATATGTTGTCTTTTTTATTATTATGGCATTTTTTATTGTTGAGGGTATTACAGATGTCCCCCATTTCTCCCTCTTACACTCCTCCATCCATCTCCCACCACTCCCCAGGCCCCTGCCTGTCCATTGTCTGTGTCCATGGGGCGTTCATATATGCTTATAAGTTCTTTGGTTAATCTCTTCCCACCCTCCTTCCCACCTTCCCTCTGAGATCCATCAGTCTGTTCCGTGCTTCCAGGTCTGTGATCATATCTTGTTCATCAATTTTGTTCCTTAGATTCCACATATGAGTGAGATCATGTGGTACTTGTCTTTCTCTGACTGGCTTATTTCACTTAGCATAATACTCTCTAGGTCCATCAATGCTGTCCCAAAGGGTAAGAGATCCTTCTTTTTTACAGCTGCATAGAATTCCATGATGTAAATGTTCCACAGCTTTTTTATCCACTCATCTACTGATGGGCACTTGACCAAGAATTTTAAAAACCTGTACTCAGAAAACTACAGGACACTGAAAAAAGAAATAGAGGAAAATACAAACAAGTGGAAGAATATACCATATTCATGGATTGGAAGAATTAACATCATTAAAATGTCCATACTACCCAAAGCAATCTATAGATTCAGCAACATTCCTATTAAAATACCAACAGCATATTTCACAGAACTAGGACAAATATTCCAAAAACTTATATGGAACCAACAAAGACCCTAACTAGCTTCAGTAATCTTGAGAAAGAAGAACAGAGTTGGAGGGATCACTATACAGGATATCAAACTATACTACAAAACCACTGTAATAAAAATAGCCTGGTATTGGTACAACAACAATCATATAGATCAATGGAACAGAACAGAGACCCCAGAAATCGACCCATGCCATTATAGTCAATTAATATTTGACAAAGGGAACAAGAGCATACAATGGAGCAAATATGTTGTATTTCTGATTACAACTATTCTGGCAAATGAGGTAATATCTCATTGTGATTTTAATTTCCATTTCCCTGAAGATTAGTAATACTGATCATCTTTTCATATGTCTATTGGCCATCTGTATGTCCTCTTTAGAGAAATGTCTATTCAGGGCCTCTCTTAATTTTTTTCTTTGGATTTTTTTTTATGTTGGGTTGTATGACATCTATATATGTTTTGGATATTAACCCCTTATTAGTTATATCATTTTCAAACAACTTCTCCCATTCAGTACATTGGCTTTTCATCTTGTTAAAGCTTTCCTTCACTGTTCAAAAGCTTATTAGTTTGATGCAGTCCCATTTGCTTTTTTTACTTTCTTGTCTTCACCCAAGGAGCCATATCCAAAAATATGATTGCTAAGACCAATGTCAAAGTGTATACTGCCTATGTTTTCTGTCAAGAATTTTACAGTTTAGCCCAGCCAGCTTGGCTCAGCGGTTGAGCATCAACCTATAATCCAGGAGACCAAGGTTTGATTCCTGGTCAAGGCACATGCCCAGGTTGCAGACTCAATTCCCAGAAGGGTGTGTGCAGGAGGCAACTGATCAATGACTCTCATCATTGATGTTTCTACCTCTCTCCCCCTCTCCCTTCCACTCCCTGAAATCAATAAAAAATATTTTTAAAAAAATTATGGTTTAGGGCTTACATTCAAGACTTTAATCCATTTTGGGTTTATTTTTGTATATGGTATAAGAAAGTGACCTAGTTTCATGTTTTTTGGATGTGTCTGTCCAGTTTTACCAACACAAATTTTGAAGAGATTGTCTTTTCCCCACTGTATATTTTTGCCTCCCTTGTCATAGATTTACTGGCTATATATGCCTGAGGCAAGGGGTGGGTGCAGGGTAGAAGGGATCAATGGCGGAAAAAGGAAACATCTGTAATACTTTCAATAATAAAGATAAATTTAAAAAAAAATAATGGTCAGAGTATGCATCTTTGTCTTAAACCTGATCTTAGAGAAAAAACTTCCAGCTTTTTACTACTGAGTGTGATATAGTATTATACTAGCTGTGACTCTGCCCTATATGGCCTTTATTATGTTGAGCTACGTTTCTTCTATACACATTTGTTCAAAGTATTTATCACAAATAAATGTTAAATTTTGTCCTTCATTCTGTTTATGTGCTGAATCATGTTAATTGATTTTCAGATAATGAACCATCCTTGTATTCCTGGAATAAATCCTACATGATTGTTGGGTATCATTCTTTTAATGTATTGCTTAATTTGGTTTTTAATATTTTGTTGAGGAGTTTTGCATATATGTTCATGAGGGATATTGGCCTATAATTTTCTGTTTTTATAATGTTTTTGTATGGTTTTTGTATCGAGGTAATGCTGGTATTGTAGAATAACTCTGAAATTTTTTCCTCTTCAAAAATTTTTTGGAATAGTTTTACAAGGATAGCTATTAATTCACCTTTGAATGTTTGGTAAATTCTCCAGTAAAGCCATCTGATCACAAACTTTTGTTTGTTAGAAGTTTTTTTATTACTATTTCAACTTCTTTTCTAATAATTGATCTGTTCAGATTTTTAAATTTATTTCTGATTCAATCTTGGAAGATTTTGTTTCTAGGAACTTACCCATTGCTATTAGGTTGTCCAATTTGTTGGAGTATAATTGGTCATAGTATTCTCATAATCCTTTGTATTTCCATAGTGTTGCAAGCCACTTCTCTCATTTCTGAATTTATTTATTTATGCCCTCTCTTTTTCTTGATGAGTCTGGCTAAAAATTTCTCAATTTTGTTTATCTTTTTTCAATTTATTGATTTCAGAGAAGGGAGAGAGAGAGAGCATTGTGTATGTGCGGGGGGGGTGGAGATTGAGAGAGAGATTTGTTGTTCCACTTACTTATACATTCATTGGTTGATTAATTTTGTTTATTTTTCAAAGAACAAGCTCTTAGTTTCATTGATCTTTTCTATTTTTAAGTCTCTATTTCATTTATTTCTGCTTTTATTCTTCTTCTTTCCTCATACTCACTTTGGGCCTTGTCCTTTTTCTAGTTCTTTTAGGTATAAGGTTACGTAGTTTATTTGAGATTTTTCTTGTAAGTTTTTTGAGGTAGGCCTGCATCACTATAAATTTCCCTCTTAGAACTGCTTTTGCTGTGTCCCAAAGCTTTTGGATCATTGTGTTTCCATTTTCTTTTGTCTCAAGATATTTTTTTTATTTCCTCCTTAATTTCTTCATTAACCCATAGTAGCACACTATTTAGCCTCCACTTCTCTGTGTTTTTCCCTGTTTTCTTCTTGTAATTGATTTCTAGTTTCACACTGCTGTGATCCAA